TATATGTTACCAATATTTACATTTATCACATCATCAAATATATCTACAAATTATAAATAAATATCTATATATAATGTCTTATTGACTGTTCGCATCGTACTATATCACTTTAAACCACTAATAAACTTAATCACAGTCTTCGATCCATCGCAATTCAATTGTTTCTTGTTAAAACTAGCAATGTGACCGCTGGATCCCATCAATAACATCTCTTTGCTCTTCCTATTTATTTCACTGGTAAACTTTAATCTGAATCTTCGGGTACATCAAAATTCAATCGTCTCCTATTAAAAACGGCAATGTATCGCCTCAATATATTCCTCGGCGATGTATTAATTTCCTCGCGTGATCTCTCGACGATTCGCAAAGAAATGTCATACGCTGACTCTATTATGTCGTCTCCGGTCACAATTACCTCATTTGCCGACTGGTCCGTCTTTCGATCTGGAAGTAAAATGTAACATTAACACATGTAATTAATTAATTTTATTGAAAATGTATAAATACTATGACCAAACTTTCTCGTATCAAGTACCAATCTAAAAAGTATCTATAAATACCTTTTAGATTGGTACCTACTAAGAAACTGAAAGAGACAACAAACTTTAAACGTTCGAAAATCTTATATAATATTAATGGGTCGCTCTATCTGCTAAATTTTAATATATTATATATAGATTTGTTGTAGCTGTTTGAAGTTGAAATGTAAAAACATATATAAAATGTGATAAATAAAATATACCTATAAATAGTACATCGAAAACATAAAATTTACCTTTGTCCACAGACATTGCGACCTCCTGGGTTCTCTGACACTCACAATTTGTATTTGCCATTATTATTATTATTATATATTATTTAAATGAACAAACGAACACTGAGTACGCTCCTCGTAAGTTACTACTTTCGAATGATTGTGTTTTCACAACTACAGTCCTATTTAAACATTGAAATGTTGAAAAATAGGCAAGTAATTAGTGAATCATAAATACATGGAACCATTATGATAATGAAAACAATAGTTGTTTCTATAAAGTGGTGGATTTTGTCTAAAGTAATTTATGGATAATGCAATTATAATAGCTGAACAGCTACTAATGTATTTTTCAATTAATTTGATTTAGCAAAAAAAACTACCTCTTCAGCAAATTTTAAGTGTGTTAATCGACAGTCCAATGGGTATGACATATTTATTGCAAAATTTTCCTAGTTGGTTTCCAAATATAATTTCTAGTGTCACTAAGAAAAGTTTTAGAAAGAGAGAAAAAGTGGATCACCTTTTCGTAAAGAGGATTATGTCTTGAATTTTATAACGCAATACATTGCCGATCATCTATCCTAATAGAAACCATGGCACTTTGCAATTTATCTCAATTTAATCATTTATTAAACGCTAATGGCAGGTTGCTAGATTTTGTGCTTTTTAAGAATAATAATCTTATATTAATGTATATAGCACCGATCCTTTAAGTAAATTAGATAGACATAATCCTGCTTTTAATGTGAATATTGAATCTATTACCCAACTATTAACTGTGAAATATAACCCTGGGTCTTTTAAAACCAACTATTGGAAATGTAACTACAATCAAATTAAACTCGCTTTGAAATCAGAGCTTGATAGGAATGCTATTCTTTCTGGTTTAGATAAGAGAGATAATTAATATATATACTCCTAAGTGTAAGTCGAAGTCAAAAAACTATCTTGAACGGTTCAGTCTGCCTTTGATCAATTGTCTTAACGAGAAACCGAAATACCATCGTCAATTTAAAAAGTAAAAGAACCCCAGAGATTACGATACATTTGTTCTACTTAATAATAATAATAATAAACTCTTTATTGCGCACAGTAGAGATGTATACAAGGAGTATTTATACAGAATGTGCATATACAAAAGGCGGCCTTATCGCTAAAAGCAATCTCTTACAGACAACCTGAGTCGTAGAAGCAAGAAAATAATTGAAGAATGATACTAGTCTTGTATTCTGTTTATAGAAGATAGTTTAAAAGATAATAATAAGATGTTTTAGAAGTATGTGAACTGTAAAAAGCCGAGTAATTACATTCCACAATTGATGACACACAAATTTAATGTTGCATCTGACGCGCAGGTAATTTGTAAACTGTTTTCAGAGTACCTACTTTAAATCGGTATATAAAAAGCCATTTGATAGTAGCAACAACATTCAAAATGTCGTAAGTCTGTCAACTATTAGCGTGATACATGTTAACTGCGAAAATTTATTAAAAGCTATCATGAAGCTTCATTCAAATAAGGGTGCTGGTCCTGACGATGTGCCTGCTAGGTTTATAAAGACATGCGCAGATGAATGAAATGTTCTATTGCAAATATAATTTAATAAGCTGCTTAGCTTTTTTTATTGAAAAGCCTTTGATAAGATCACCTATTCGTTACTTATTAAAAAATTGTTTATATATGGCATTCATGGTAATTTATTGTGATAGATTTAGTCAGATGGTCGTTATTAGGGGTTTTATTTCTTCTCCTAATTCTTCTCTTCTTTATACTACTCATAATTAAGCAATTTAAAAATCCTCACCGTCTGTGTGTTCTATATTCTGCATTGGTTCGCCTTAAATTAATTTCGCTTGTCCGTTACCGTTATGTGTGTGACTACCATCACTCGAAGATTGACTACCAGTATTACTTCTAGAATTTTCAGCCTTCCATATTCCACAGCCTTCCATCGTCGACTGTCATTTCGGTACCCACTGATCTATTTAAAGTCGGTGTCTTTTCAACCGACTTCAAAAAGACGGAGGTTCTTAATTCGGTTGCATTTTGTTTGTTTATTACTTCTTAACTTCGTCAATTGCAAACCGATCAGTCCAGCAAAAGCTGAGTTTGTATCTATTGCCAGGCGCATACGAATACTGCACAATATATTGATTAATGAATATATGTACATTATAATTTCTGTGAAGAATGGCAATAAATTTAATTCTTATTCTTAAATTCTTTTTTTTTTTTTTATAGAAAGGATATACTTACTTTAATATATAAGTATATACTTTCTATTGTACTAATGTATAATAAAAATTATAACAAGAATGGTTTAGGATTATAGTTTAAATATATCAAATCATTTCGTATTGTTACAATTGAATTGTATCTTTTTTTATTGCGAAAGACAATTATAAATTATTCATGCTAAAAACGCGCGAGAGTAACATGCCCCCTGGATGTACATAGTAGCCTAATCAAACAACTACCTATTTACTTGTAATCGACCTCAAACAGACCAGTTGATAACACATGTACCTAATCAGATCCTGACTGGTAACGATGGGGCCGCATCAGGAGTACCTACTCTCTTTTAAATTAAATAAGTAGTTTCATTAATTGCCTGCCTGCTTTCCATCCACACCTATTATCTTTTCGGAGAGAGTGGATCCCCTAGCTATAACCACTTTTGTAGTTTTTAAATAATTCTCCTTTTTCCCTTTCCCCTAACTGTACATGCTGAGCTCTGTTTATAAATATTTTAAATTAGACGTATATATTTATAATTAGTACTTTGTGATTTCAGCCTTGTCATGTATCAAACAGTCAAATACCTTATTATAGTCGATAAATACGATGTAATGTGTAAGCTAGCACTCTGTATAGAGTATTATACAGAAGTTTACGATTGGTCTCTAGATTGCTCTCTAGTCGTGTCCCTTCAGTAAGATCTTCGCAAATATATCGTATATATTGTCAATGTATCTATTAGTAACAAAATAGGAAATATTGAATTGTTAACTGAATGTCTTAATAGCCATATATTTTGTACAAGTGAAACCTGATTGTTGGAATTCAAATTCATTTTTTTATATAACTTTAATTTTATTATTTATTGGGAATTTTATTACAATTTTTTTGTGACATTATACAGTATTAAATTATAAGAGCTCGGATCAAAATATTATTGAACTGGTTGAAAATTAAATTTTAAGAAAAAGTATTATTGTACATTTGAATATTATATACCTACACATGGTGTTAAGAGACATTTAAAATGGAATGACGATTTAGAAGTGTATTTGAATAAAGATACTTTAAATTTAAAAATTTGAAAAAAAAATCGAACATCACAGTAATAGGACGGCAATGTTCAATATCATAATAGTCTATTTTTTGTACAACACAATTATACTATAGGAACCTATACGTACTGATCATCACTGATTGATTGGAAGATGTTTATTATTCAATGATGTTTAATCTGCTACACAAATTAGAATGAAATTTGGTATACGGGTCGGTAACCCCCTTATGCATAAAAACATCAAACCTATTTTAGCTATTCAACTACTTTATCTCTTTCTTTAAATTAAACAACAAAACACTGTATCAGTTAAAGTATGTTTATAGAATATTTCAGTTTTTATGAATTAGAGGCGTAACCTATACAATACCTAGTATACTATCATATTATCTGTGACAATGCTTCATATAATGCTTTAGTCAGTGAAGCCGCAGGAATACAGCTATTATTAGTATATCCTAATGCTACTATAATAAATGCAAATTTCTTACTCATTCATGCCAAAACAATCGAACGGAATGTAATTATATGTAATTATAGTATTATGGGAAATAATGTTTAAATTCTTCCATTAAAAACTAATTAAGCGCAATGTAACGTTGTCAGATAATTTTCTAATTAATACTTACGCCTTACACCAAAGCTGATATATACCTATCCGTATGAGTAAGAATCGATTGGTAAATTTATGTAATAAATCTTTTTTCGTTGTCTTTACAATTGTCTTGATAAGGTTTAGTAAAGTATATGAAATGAGTGTATGAATAATTGTATGGAAAAATTAAAAATATTGCGTTAAATAAAGACGTAATTAAATAAATAAGTAAATAAACAAGTTATTAAATAAGGTCATAAATAAGTAAACAAATAAATAAATAAGGTAAAATAATAAATAAGTAGGTAAAATAAAAAAAACATTTGTTAAATATATTTTCTTTAATGTTTAATTCTACCCTTATGTTTCTATTACAATACTGTGTTCTCTTTGCGATGAGAGACCTTTAAATTATTATTTGACATATTGTTGACATAAAAACACAAATCTTAAATATTACAATTGTCGAGATCTAGCTAGCCAAAAATATTTTCATAGGTGACTTCCTAATTATAGTTCATTTAAATTTTCTTTTAGTATTTTATTTTATATCAGTCTTGTCTAATTATAATAGTAACTCTCGAAATATATACACTCATGTACTTACATACATTTGTAGAGTTTACAAAAATCATTACTCTTACATACAAAATAATACTTTTGGCATTTTTCACAACTACATTGTAATAAAACTAATACAAGTATTACATCAAATGCATAGTAATACAAGGCCTTTATTCCTACTATCTATTACTAATACAAAAAATGAAGAGATATAAATTACAAAAAAATCATCATATTTGATACAAATTAATACATACAAATAAAAAATAAAAAAATTACAAATACTAATAGACAAATATAAAAGGCAATTCCTTAAACATTAGGTACAATAGTAATCACAAATACGAGAGTTCTTCTTCAATTTTCTCTATACATGATTCGATGTCTTCACAATCAACAATCATGCGTTGTAGCTCATATTGAGTATCAATCAATAGATCCCTATCAAAATATCCTTTTTCGAGAGCCGTCATGCAAAAAGCAGACAGCCTTTCGAAGCACAGCGCTCTGTAGGGAATATGTATGTGACGATCACATATAGATATAGCTCTAACATATTTCCAGGCTAACAACACATATTCAATAACAGACTTCCATTGTTGAGAATCCAACAGGACTTTCCCCTGTTCCACTAAATACTTGTTGAAAGCTTCTAAGTGGCTACGTGCGTGAAAGTAAGCCAGCGAACCGTATTCAAAATTCATTCCCGGTGTTGACAACAATTTCACAATATTCCATCTTAAATGGAAAAACCTTTCCTCGAGCGGCAACAAGTCTGGGGCCGGCATGTTTGTTCTGACCTCGTCCTCGATGTCTGGATGTTTGTCCATGACAGATTTAATTATATCAATCAGTTGATTCGGCCTCAAATCTTTCAGGGCAACATCTAAAGGTCCATTATATTTTATTGCTTTCTCCAGTCTTGGTTTCTTATTTGGCGGTGTTGAGTCAATTTGCCAATTTGTGCTGATATCTTGCGATTCACTAGTATCACTGAAGTCTGTCCCCTCTGATGTCCAGTCTGAATCAATAGATTCAGAGCGCACGCGTTTCCGTGGGCTAGATTCTGAAGTGGCTGTTGAAGTGGGCGGAGAAAAGCAGACCGAGTTTGTTGACGGCGGTGGAAGAGGTGAGGTCCACCCAAATATTTCAACGTCGTCGTCAGTCGTGGAATTTCTTGTTAATTCATTTTCCGGCGACCTCGAGATATGAAGACATTCACGACCTGAATTCAAAGAATGTTAATTATACAACAATTGCCATATAATACAACAATAGGCATTAACAATAAAACGAGAAACGATAAATTATACTGGAAAATCTAACGCAAATATAAACAATGAATTTATTCTTAATAATATTCGTGTGGGACCAACACAGCAGTAAACCTTTTCAATTTAAAAAGAATAAAACACATTTAAAATAATAAATAGAACGGTATTTTAACTAGCATAGGTTTTGAGATTTTATAAAAAGAAACTTCCCAAAATAACAACAGTTACAACTTAAAAAGTCTAGGAGGTACATAGTTTATAATTTGTTATATGAATCAGGTATGGCAAGAGGCAAAATTTATTTCTTTTGTTCATTACAAATCTGCTCACCTCTCTGCTGGTTAACTGTTTCATTGCGGGGCGAGGAGGCCCGGCTCTGATGGCTGGGCGTGGAAGTTGACCTGCGATCCCTCGCATTCAAGAGCGGCACTAAGACCTCAGAATGGAGGCGATCCAGGCGTGCGGAGATCTCGTCCAGGGTTGCGCGAACGCGGCGCTTGCTCTCTGGTGTTATCGCTCTCTCCATTGCTCTTCACAACAAAATAAGGAATCAATTAATAAGAATAAAGTTGAGAAAGTTTTCGAATGTGTACAAGAGCAAGCGATTGAATGCCATCTGTTTTAAACTATTAATAAAAGATCACATACACATACAACAACTCAGACGATACTTTAAAAGTTGCAATAATTCTAAAAAATATAATTAATTCTAAGAGTATATTTACCTTAAGAAATCTCAGCCGTTAACTATCTTCACCGCGTTAATGATTTTCCCAAACGGGGGAAGAGAAAAAAATTATTGTCAAATAGAAATTAATACGCGCACTCAAACACAGTCACTGCTCACAAATATTGTTATTATTATTGCGATATCAGTAGATAATATTTAAAATAATAAACGAACACTAGAAACCAAACGTACACTCCTCGCTAGTTACTACTTCCGAATGACTTTACTGTCACAGGTACAGACCCTTTTATACTCGTACCTGGAAATATCGAAAAATAGACAATTAGTGGAAGGTGAATGAGTACATGGAGCCATTAGGACAATGACAATAATGGGCGTGTTTAGTAAAGGGCGGACTGGAGGGATTCATAGCTCATTAGCTAATTCAACTAATGACTATAATTGCATTCAAATGGTGATACGTAAGTTATAAAAATAAATATGTCTCCATACTCTGGAGTTGTGTAGTAATTACATGATAACGAGACAACCGAAACAACATTACAAAATAATTAGCTACTTAATTTTTATTTTAGACCCGGCATATTTAAATAATAAATAATCTTATACTAAATGTAATTATCTTATCCAGTGTAATTATCTTATTTGCCTTTTTATTAAAACTGCTAAAATATACTTGTGTTAATTCATTGTGTACTCGTACCTACTGTACTGTTGAATGACAATAGGTACACGTGTTATTCATATCTTATTTTCAAATAACCAATTTCGAACTAACCATTGCTGGGTTGTTTTCTGAGTTGTGGTCCTACGGAATAAAGTGCAACTAACTAGCTTTAATCTACTTACACATCAGTTAATAACGTAGGATGACGAAGAAAAAACAAATGTGTCTTCCTTTACACTAAGGAGATAAAGCGCAGCTTTGCACTATACGATACGCAAAGACGTTGGAGAAAACAATCGCCAATGACGTAAGTCGATGAAAGGAGCAGCCGATTTCTATACAAGAGACATTGTATAGACAATACGGTGTCTATTGTATGTATATTGTGGGTGTAATAAACAGCGGTAGAAAATCTATCGTGTCATCCATTACACCCCTTATACAACGTTATGTATTGTAGCTATTTAAAACAGAAATTACCTTTGTCTACAGGTACGGCTGGACCTTAAGAATGTTCTCAGAATTTTTATTAGCCGTTGTTATTATAATTACACAAACATTGAGTACGTTTCTTGAAAGTTAGTATTGTCAAATAAATTCGTTTTCACAGCTATGTATTAATGTATTAATAGCGGCTACCGTTAGTGCAGGCGGGGTTACCATTTCATTGTCATCCATTAGAAAAAAATACTTTTATTACTTATTAGTTATTGTTAGGTACTTATGTCACACCAAGATTTAGGTAGTTGTTTCGTGAAGTAGACAAACATTTTAGTTATAAAAAAAGGTAAAAAAGAATTCGTAATTTGTTTAATATCAATAAATACTCTATCTTTTTATTGATATATTTTATTGATGATTATTTTCTCAAACTTGTAGTTATTTGCGCATAGGTATAAAGCTACGCCCATATTCTGCGGTGGGCGTTAGACAATTCTTGATTGGCCCGACGCACGCGGCCGCCCTTGAATATGCCATTATTTCTCTCTCTCTCTCTCTCTCTCTCTCTAAAATTTTATTTTATATTTAATCATAAGCCATTTGTACAGTGTGCTCTTAAATTTTCTCAATGTCTTTATATTTATTATATTTTTTGGGTTATTATTATAAATTCGTGTACACATATTATAACAATGTTTTTGATAAATCGTAGTCCTAGGAATTCGATTTAATACCAGCCTATTTGGATTTCTTCTATTTCGCGGATAATGCTCTGTGGCAGTAATAAAGCTGTTTGAATTTTTCTTAACAAATGCAGATGCTTCATAAATATACATGCAACCTTGTGGAAGACTGTTATATACCTATTTTAAACAGTGGTCGGCAAGACTTCCAATATTTTAATTCTCTATTAAAACTCATTTTAAATAAGGAATATTAGAAATTATTTATTTTTTCTAAAATTGACAGATAATACAGACACTGCCACATTTAGATATGTAATAAACACTTCCTAAAAAAGCTTTTTAGTGAGGGATTCTAACAATTAAAAATATATTCCTGGCGTCTCGGATGTCATACAATAAAACACATTTTTTAAATATTTTTTCTTTAATATTTATTTGTACTCTAATGTTTATATTACAACACTGTTTTCTCTGAGGATATTGAGATTATTATTTGATACATGTACATAAATATAACAATCTTGAATAATACTATAATAATAATACAATTGTCAAGATCTAGCATACATACAAAATATAAAATAATAAAAATACATAC